CTTATTTAAACCGGACCAGGGGACCACTATGCAGCTGGCTTCTGAGTCTCCATGGTGGAGGACTGCTTGATTCATGGCTGAGAGAAACAGATGCTTTCACCATTTACCCCCCTCTTAATTATTCCTGACCTTTTTTCTTGCAGAAACCAAAAACTTTCCTCCCAGGAGCAGAGTACCTCCCCATCCTTATTATCCTGCTGTCCTTAGGAACCAGACACAGCACATGTCATTAGGAGGTACTGCCTTAATGAGGCACTTTTAATGAGTTTGATGGTGGCATGAACTGAAACATCATTACATGACGGTATTAGGAGGGATCTTTGTAGTAAGAGCACCATGGTAGCTAAACACACTTAAAAGGGTATTATCTAAAGAACACCATCTCCATTGCAAGCTGTTTAACTGTAGCATATTTAATGAATAAGAGGGCTGAAATGAGACTTGCAAATGGAATAACGTATACAGATATTCACACCACGCACCAGCTTTTGAGAACCAAGTATTTCAGCACGTCCATTATCATGATGTTATCAATCTGCTTGCCAGCCAGATGTGTATTTTCAAGCACATCTTTTAAAAATATATTTGATCATTAAACACCCATCGAGGATTCCAAAGGCAGAGAGTTTTTAGAGCAAAATTCACACTTGCCGTGCACACCTGCACTTAAAAGTGACAATGCCTAGCACTTTGTATCCTTGTTTTCAAAAGTTCTGAATAATTATTGACTGAACCTGACCATGAGGAAGCAGACTGTAACCACTTCCCCAAAGGCAGCAGCCTCTAGAGTGGAGCGTAACCGCTAGTGAGCAGTGCACAAAGAACCTCAGAACGCTTGGAGACGGGAAACAAGGAATGCCGTATCCAAATAAAACTATGAGGCATGGGATTCAGCTAGGCAGAAATTACTCAAGCTGAAGGTTGGCCAAGGGACTGAGGTTACCACTCCTCCTCTCCTAAGAAGTGCCAGGCAATCTTTAAGGACCACCGGGGGGAAAGGCTGGAATTCATTTCACCTGGATGCTGATGTCATGCAAATGGAAAAACCCTGCAGTGTTGTTTTGGGGGTTATTTGGATTTTAGAAAACGTTTCCTTTTTTTGCCAGTTTATCTTGTAAGTAAATAAGCATGAAGAGATGGATTTTCAATCATGTGGCTAAAATGCCAAACTAAACAGCATGTTTCAGGGAATGCATATATACGGTCAGCCCATCCTTTTGTATGAGAGCTTTATAAAAGCAGCCACATGTGCCCGTGTTTAGGAGCTATGGAAGCCACTTTTATGTGGACTCGATTTGGTACTAAATACTAACCCCTGGGATAGAGGACAGGAGCGAAGGTGACCACAGCAACACGATGTATGTTTAGGACAGGAAGCGGAGGCGCGCGCCTCACTCAACTGAAAAAGCTGGTTTCTGTTTAGAGATGGAAAACCAATCCCCTGAACAATGCAGATGGGCAGACTGAGCAGGAAGTCACCTCAGGGTTTTTATCCTGGCTGAGGCCTTTGCCTCTGCTGCACTTCCACTTACTGGTCTGTAAGAGGAGGAGGGTGCCACTTCCTGTGGAAAGCTGGAAGGCAGGTTGGTTTCTTGGACAGCACAAAGCCTTCAATAACTATTTAGGATCATTGGTGTGGGCTTTCCCCTCCTCTATACTGGGCTAACATGTAAAGATAAGGCTACCGTGAGAATCCATTTTTGACTCCATCTCTAGAACGAGACAGACTGAAAGACGGTTATTAGCTGCCCCTCTGAACCACTGTACCTTCACATCAGTAAAGTGCGAATTGCTTTGCTTCCGTAGACAGACACAGCACAGCCTTACAATTCAGCGAGAGGCGACTCTGCAGGAAGCATATTAACAAACCGTGTACAGGATATTGAGTTCTTCCCAGAAGATCTTGTGCAGATAGGAGTCAGGCGAGTCGGCTGGCAGAGGGATATGCTGAGAGGTACAGCAGTTTGCTGGTACTCTCTAATATCAATACACGTTATATAAGTAACCTTCTGTTCCAACCTTCTGCTCTGCTTGGTGGTTTTGAGGAGCAGATAGGCTGGTGGTCATTTCCAAAACAATGAAACCTGGTCTCTGTCTTGTATAACAGCTCAAAGAAAATTATCCGCGCCACGGTGGTAGCAGCACACGAGGCTCGAAAAGCATCTCACTCGGGCCTGTAGAATTACAACCACATTTCCAGTGACATTAGTGAAAGATGAACACATAGCAATCAGTATAACCCAGGCCGGAAAGTTATTCTGCCCGGACTCGCTGCTCATGAGGTCAGGCATCTAGCACTGGGCTGAAGCGAGCCAGAAGGTTCCAGTATCCTCCAGCCTTGACTGGGGCCAAGAAATGGTCACAGCCTCACAGCGTTAACTAACTCAGCTTTGTAGGGTTGGTGAAACGGAAGTGATCTCCACCTCTGCTGGACAGAAAGCAGCGAGCTGGGTACAATGTGAGAGGCACCACGAGCCTGGGCTTGTGTTTAAGCGCTTACTTGAAATCTGACTTGGAAACACTGTTCTAAGCAACTGCTTTGTGGGTGGTGTGAAGCTGTGCAACAAAGATGCTTCATCCCCTTATGGAGCAGGAAGGTGCCTTGCAATGCTGACCTGGGGCCCTGGGGGTCAGTTGTAGTTCAGGTCTCAGAACAACCCTTTGTCTCTGGGCCTCTTGATCTGCTGCAGCAGAAGTCAGTCCAACTTGGCAACTCTGGCATTGCATCTTCCCTGACGTTTGGCATCTATGCACCCCCTATCCGCTCTCAATACCCTTGTGAAGCAGCAGAAAAGTGCATGTTCCCAGCTACAGCTCAGGGAAATGAAAGCCTAAACACCATGCCCAGGCTCTCACAGGGAAAGCACGGCCAAGCAGGGACCCGAGCTGCTCTGGGTTAGGCTACTGTCCTGACCTCCTGTTCTCCTTGTCAGCATTCCTTGCAGCAGCATGATGTTTGAGCGGGAGTCCCACCACCGGGCACAAAGCCATGCCAAGTTTCCCCACTGAGATGGATAAAACACCATAAACCCAAACTATCCACTTACAAACCCCAACAAGAGCTCTGGAGGAAGAACGCTCTGGTCCTTGCTGCACATTTATTGCAATTACTGCAGAGGAGTTGACAACACACGATTGATTCATCATTAGTCCTGTTTGGACTCGCCCAGTTCTTAGACTTCACAGGTATAAACAGTGTGTGTCCACAGAAGAGATACAGCCCTGTGCTCCAACTGATTTGTCAATCATTTTGCATCACGATGGGGGAGTTTTGCCATTGACCTAACAGCACGGGACCAGACAATCCCACCCCACAGATATCCCCAGCTGCATGGAAGAGAAACAACAGCGGGCTGCTTTATCTTTCTCCGCAGCCCTCTGCACCCAAGCCAGGCTGTGTTAGCAGGGCTGGGAGAGTCACCGGCTTCCAGAAGCAAATGCCCTCACTTCTCTGCTCTCAGGTAACAGCTGAGACTGGAAACTCAACGCAGTGCAGGCACCAGCTTTCATCTCACACCTGGTCCTCCCAGCCCCGATGCAGAACACACGCAAGTCAAGCAAGAAGCCTGCTCCCTGGATTGAGGCAGGTGGCATATTGCTGACTGACTGAAACAATGCTCCAGGCAGCCCATTATGAATGATTACCAGCCAAGGTGCAAAACCTCCTCTTTCCCCCACTCCAATGCAGTGAAAGCAGCCAGGAGACACTACTCACACATAGACACCTGCCCCAGGCAAACATCAGCTTTGAATTTTGCCAGGAGACAATACGATGGATTTCCCCCTTTCATCCTGCTGAAGGTCAGGTGGGGACACCCACCTTTTCTGCCCACACTGAATGCTCCGGTCCCTGGAGGCTTTGCTGACAATGAAGGCAAAGAGCACGAACAGGCTCCATCTTTGCACCCCTCTCCCCTGAGAAAGCAGGCTTTTTGGGGGGCTCAGGGGTCCCAACAGAGCTAGTGGATCTGCAGCTCTAAGAGGTCTTGGCACATTAACAATCAGGAACAGAGTCATCTGGATCCAGAAAGAAAGGTCTTTGGGTCATAAAAAAATCCAAGTTAAACTTTCCCTAATTAAAAATTAGGGCTGAGCGAGTGACACGTGTATGAGGCAGAAGATGAGATTGTCCTAAGCAGCCCTTGCCGTGCACAGTGGGCCGCAGCAGGGACCAGCTTCCACCTGGCAGGTTCTCTCCACACCACCTCCTATCTTCTCCATCTGCAAAGGGAAGGAACATGGGGTCCCATGAGGACAATGTCGGCACCAAGGAGAGCGCAGGCCTGCAGGCTGTATCAGGGCTGAAAGGCAAGCCTGGCAGAAAGGTGGGAGGTGAAGAACTCCAGGGAGCACCCAGCAGAGCAGCCCGGGAGCTCAGGGAGAGCCGGGATTCCCACCACCACCACAATGCAGAGCCAAGCTGGGCAGAATCAGCTGAAAACTCAGGTCTATCCAGACTGCAAGCAAGGTCTGTTTTCTGGATGTACATATACTGTGCAGGGACCTAATCTCAGCTGGGTCTGCTCAGTGCTGCCATCAGGTGACAATAATGAAGCACAGTTAATTTAGCGAGGCAAAAGGCTGCATTTACACTCATGTTGTGTGGACACGGGAGGGCTGGGAAGTGCTGGTTTTGGAGGGGCTGGTACTCACATCCTTAGACACTTGTCTTTCCCCCCGCTTGCCACCCTCTGTCCATCAGGGCTCCAGTCCACTGCAAACACCTAGCAATGCAGAGATCTGGGTTATTGCCACAACCAAAGGAGAGCGCAGATGTTCCCCCTGCCGCCAGCCTTGTGGTGAAGGCAGGGGAGCTGAGCCTCTGCCTTCTCCAGAGTGGGCACGTCCCAGGCCGTCCACAATGGGCAGACCTACCTCGTCGGCATGGCCGGGAAGGTCGATGGCCAGCTTCTTCATCTTGGCATCCCACACCTTGAGGGTGCTGTCGCTGCTCCCGCTCACCAGCAGGCGGCTGTCCGCTGACCAGGCAATCTGGTACACAGCCGAGACATGGCCCCTCAGCGAGGTGAGATACCTGCAGCGGGAAGGGTGGGAGGGCGAGGATGGGTAGGTAGTCAGGCACACAGGCCTCATCCCAAATGGTGTACCTCTCTGCGGGCATACATTGTACTTACACACGCCCATTAGACAGGCAATACACGGCTCACCCATGGTTGTACCAAGG